TTGCAGTCCAGGTGTATAATATGACATAGTATTAGTATGGTATACTGTGCGAGACGTGTTTAGTATGCAATGTTTTTGATAGAGAGAAATCGCTCGAAATGTAAATGATCGAAATGTAAATTTAAAAGCGTACAAATATGAAATATTACTCACAAATACCTCATATTATGTTTTTAATTAAGAGTTCGATGCGCAAACCATTGGTTACCGTTGATCAATCGTTTATCACTCTTGAATTTCCGAATCTAAGTTACCGGAAGTTCAACCTTCGGATATTTATCGTGCCAATACTCTTCCTAGTCTCTCTCAATCACCTGGACTGCGAGTATCACATCTAGCCGCAACCGTCCTACTACGTCCATTTGGATGTTGCGCGCGCGAGTAGACTAGTATTTTAGCCTGCAACTTATTAGGGAGCTATATGAATTCTAGCCTGCGGATGTGACGCAGGCTATTTACGCAGAAAATTCCGGATGTAACGCAGGCTATATTAATTAAAATTCTCTACCAGCTGGAGACTTTTCCTTTTTTTTTTTTCCTTTTTTTATATGGTAAAACAAATCATACCACACAAACCAGACCCATTACTTTTATATTTTTATTATATAATTTGCAATATAATAGGTTTGTAAGGGGAAAAAAATACAATACAAATTGATGCAAATTCAAAACGATAATTATTATCAAATATATCTAGTCTGCAGTCTGCAGTCTGCGGTCTGCGGTCTGCGTTTGTCCGACACCGTTTTTTTCTCTCTCTCCATAAATAGACTCTACTAGACAATAATCGATTTTTCTGTCACTGTTGGCGGCTCAACAAAAATATTCAATCGCCTTTTATTGTTAATTAATTCTATAGAATCTTTTGCAACTTCTTAGTATCTGGATAGGATAGTATGATTTCTATTATTGCATCGATTCTGCTTGATTTTTGATTTTAATTTTTATGGAACACCGGCCGATCACATTTAACCGGAATTTAGTGTTTTCAAATCGTCGATGGTCGACTGTCATTCGAAAAAAGGCGCATAAAAGAACCCTATTCACAGAGTTTATCTTCCACCATATCAATTATTTTAAATGTTTTTGAGAGGAGAGTAACAAAAGCGACTACATCTAAGCGAGTCTCGTGTTATATTTCTTAAATGTGTTCAATGTCACAGACGTACCTTTCAGTGATGTAAAATATTTCGTCTTTAAGCGTCCATAATGGATCAATAGCAGTGTGGTAAAGACAGCCAGACACGACAAAGCGACAACAATGGCTTTCTTTCCAAACATTATATATTGACAAGTTACTTCTGAGACGGTCCAGCACGAGTAAAACGATATCTTTGATCGTTTCTACTCGCGGTTATTAAACAGGATTGCGTTATTGTTTTACTAAGATAATAAAGTATTAGATTTCGCGATCAGTTTTAACTAACAAAATCCCGAAAATTGGTATTCAAATTAGTAAAGAATTAAGTCCATTGGGTTAATTGATGAAAGAGACTTTTCATCAGTGTCATCGTTATGGTGACGAGTCGGATAAATTTTGATTGGATCATTAATGACCTCGCGCACTGTGATTGGTTAAAAGGTTGTCAATGGCGAACCGTGACCGTACCGTTCTTAGTCCGCAATATTCGAGTAAGTATGCAATTCGACACGGCACTTTCACGGTAACGATCATGACAGAAAATTAGCGAGAAATTACATCATTAAAGAACAAATAACTTCCCTTAGCAAGCAACACCTAATAAGAAAAAATAACTATAAAACGTAGAAAGTTGAAAAAAASAGTTGAGGAAAATACGTAAAATGAGAAGACACCAAACTCTCACGGCAATGACCATGACAAGGAACTTCTCTAGCAGGCCCCGAACACCCACAAGAAAGAAATAAAGCTGAGAAAATAAAAACTTAGAAAGTTGAAAAATGAGAACAGAACAGACGTTGTAAAAAAATGTACATGAAATAAGCAGCATGTTTATAAAACATGGAAATAAATTTGTGATAATAACAGGAGTTTAGAGCTTAGCCAGCATTTCAGAAATTATCTTGGTTGGACCGTCTCGTGACAAGAGACAATCAGGAAAATCAGGAAGCAAAATACGGCTATTTTAATATGTRCCATATCTTTAGGTTGTATTTCTCCCGTTTTCCTCGCTTCGAAACTAATTATTTTTACAATAAACTAAAAGGGTAAATAACACAGGAAAATTTTTACAGGATTTACACATATGGAAGATAATTTTTAAAGGTGTCTATCACAACTACTTGTAACTAAACATGAAACTAAAATTTTTACCACCTTGCTCGCATGAAGGTGGCGGCTGATATCATTAATGACATACTATTTAAATAAAACACACACAATCTTATTTCCCATACGTTAGACTATTGACCTGATATTGAGAAAGGATGCATTTTGTCATGACAACTGTACAGTCGTAAGTCGTTTTATTAAGAGTGTTTGCGTAGCTGAACAATGAAGCCGCAATTAATAATTTAATTTTTCTGCCGTTCAATATTAAAAAACAGCGAGATTTGCCAAGTCTGTGGTAATTTGTCAGAGAGAAAAAATAGAGAGAAAATAAAACGAGAAGAAAAAAGAGAAGAAAAACAAGGAAATAGAAGATAAAAATAGACCTTATTATCGGCTCGGGCGTAATGTTTTCCCATTTCAGTCCACGTGTCATTCCCTAGAGTATCATTTATTTGTTTAACGCTTGCGCTCGGTTGCACATGAATATTGATACCACTCAAACAACGAATCTTATTCTCAAGGAAATGACACTTGGTCAGAAATGGGAAAGCATTACGCCTTAGCCGAGTAGATCTATTCACGAAGCCACGCACCAACTGAAACGATGCGTTGTGTTATTTCAATGCACCCCACCTCTGACAGCATTTAGAATCTTTTCATCTTTCTGTAGCACGAATCCAAGTGCGACCAAATTTAATGAATTTGAATTTTATTCATTATTTTTTATTGATATGAACATATTTCAATATAAAACTGTCTGATTTTAACAAAGAAGGCAAAAAGGTCTTGGTTTTGCATTAGCAAAGAGCAAAATACATACTACAATGTATGTGAAAAGTCCTTTTCCTTCGGCCATAATTTTCAATCTCTTGGGAATGAGATTCTTTGTTAGAGTATCATCCATATCAATGTGTTTTTTTTACGAACCATTACAGGTAAGCAAAGAAATAATACTCAAGGGATAACGGCATGCGATCTCGTAGCCATACATTGGGATTCGAGCTGCACAAGAACAGTAATATTTTCGTAGTTTATTTCATAATCCTAAGAAAAAGACTGAATTCAGTCGGTTTTTTTACATGCATTTAATGAACTAAACTCGATCTCAACGCTGCCACCATATAGGTGCTATTCTTGTTGCACATCATTTAGCTTTTAAATTTTATTCAAAATATATTTTCTAAGAAAACTAAACTTTATTCGTTTTTTTTCTCTCTCTCTCTCTTTCTCTCTCTTTTTCTTTCTTTTTCTTCCACTTTTTTTTTTTGACATACATGCAGGCATTCAACTCCTACTCATTCCCAAAACTTTCACTATATGAGCATAGCTTTTTAGGATTTTATTCAATATAGAATTTCACTAAAAAAAAGGAAAATTCCGTCTCTATCCCAACGCTGYCACCATATGGGTGCGACATATATATTACCGGAACGATGCAGCCATTTTAAGTGCTTGTATAAAAACCCATTCTTCAACATCCTAAATAATTCTACAATTGACAGTCCTAATGTAAACTTACTCACCGAATTCGTCGGTAGCTTTTGAAGTTTCCCATAAATGGTGAAGCGGACACAAAAGCGAGCCATTTCAACATCTGGTGGTAATCCCATGAAAGGTTAGAGTAGAATATGTTGTAGGATTACCATCCAAATAAACACTTTTGGCCATAGTTTCAATTTAGGGTTTCTCTATCAGGAATCAAATTATTTATCTCATAATGCRGTGATAGATTCTATCGATAACTAGCTAATCAAAATTTTTTGTCAAATTTTGGTTGCAAAGAAGGGATTTTTACTATTTTTACTGCCTAAATACGTGCAGCTATTTTGTTTCAACGCGACTTTTCAGAGGTAAGTAAGATTAAGGTTTCTCGACCCAAATTTCTAACGTAAGGTTCTAAGCCTTTTCAGACAGTCTTAAACTCATGTATTGTGAAGCATAATTCATGTTTATTACGAGACCTTAGGCGCCGGTTAATGTCTGAATGGGATTATAGCAAATCAAGTCACTGAACACTGACTCAATTAATACCCAATTATACTGATAACCGACTGATAACCAGTGATTTGTAATCACCACTTAACCATAATCAGACCCCCAAACTCGCTAAATAAACACAGTTTGGAWATAACCAGATAAAAACGCTATGTTTTAATGTAGTGGATTGGTTATTAGCGTGTACAATGTGCGGCGTGTTTGAACAATCGATACTTGGAAGTCTTATACAAGTGAATTCGATCTTATCTTGATACGATCGATGTTTGTTTAGTGCTCGGGAAGTCATTCACTGTCCTTGGCTCAATATTCGGTTGCATTTTTCTAACCTACAGCTGGTAGAGTCGCGGAAAACCGTGAGACTTTRTTTTCTGTGCTGTGCTCAGCACTTGGCCACCAACTGAACTCCAGTCATAAAGACACCCCTTGCTTCAAAGACTTACTCATAAAGAACTTTAGAATATATGTGTTCGATGGACTTGAAGTAGCTTTGGGTTTAATTACACTGAACAACAATGGACATGGATAATCATAAGCTAGCATTAGTTTTGTAAATCCGGCTTTATCTTAACGAACTATGTACAATAACTGACGATGTCTGGGCTGCGCGAACAAGAAGCGAAGCACTAAAAGAGAATTAAAAGGATTCTTAACAGGGTTTTTATCGAGTGTTGATAACTTGACATGCTTCCTTCCGTCGAGAAAGAAAAAATGACATCCAACGCGATTCAGTTTGCGCTTTTCTGCTTTTGGTTCTTAAGAGCGTGGAAGGACACATAGATATTTATTTATCACTAAGATTACTTATAAAATGATATGAAATTAGGTTGCAAATTGTGTGAAAGTATCAAAAAGTTGTATCAGCTGTAAACCATGATTGCACATGTTTATTAGGTTTTGAACATTTTTGTCCGGTGTTGCATTTTTTTCGTTGCGTCTTTAACTCCCACAAACTTGATTATTTTCTTAACCAACTCTTTTTCGATCGTTGTCGGTCAATAACGTTATATCAGTGTTTTTTGTCTTTGAATATATCTATWAAAGTAGCCAAATTATAATGTGTTTAAAAAAATTGGGGATATCTGCGAAAACGAGACGTGGACATTTKATTTTGTTTCTCAATGGCTTGGCAAAACTTTTACAAAACTGAAAAGCAGCCCTTTCTTGACAGACACTTAAAGAGAAGAAAAGAACAAAAAAGAAAAAGGTTCTCTGTTTTGTTTTGCTTTTAGAGGAAAAGTTAGTCAGTCGCACAGAGCTTTTCTTTCATCTCCAGTTCGGCGGGTATAGCATGCGCAAATATCATTACTCTCTTACTAAGCTACAACGAATCAAACGAAACCACCTAAGTACAGTTGTTTACAAGCCTTTTAAGGCCTGACACTGGCATCTCAAACGGTTATTCTAATTACCAAACCTAACAAGCTAAATGACCATACAATTCGATTTTTGAATTACGCGTGCCTTGGCGACTTTAACCAACTCAGAAGATATTCATGGTATGGATAAAATTTTGAAGGTTTTAATCAAATTGTCATGATGTCGAGCATGAACTATGACTTTACTTACCACCAACAATTTTTCCATATCTAAGATATTCATTATTAATAAAAAGCCTTTTATTTTGACATCTTCCAATTCATATCTTTGACTGAAAAACGCATCTTTAAAATGAAGGACATCAAATGTGAATTTCTTATATACTTTAGTAATGAGCCCTCTAGAAAGCACAACTCTTTTCAGTTGTCTTCTGAGACGGTGCTTACGTGACGCTTGGARAATCTGTGAAAAAATTAACCGTCCYAAATTGTGTGAATCATCATCTTGAAAGATATTGAACATTCTTGTATCTAAAAGGCAACATATTTCTTCAGGGTCTAAAGCTGAAAATGTGAAAGCGCAAGACGATTCCTTGACTAGGTATCACATGTGAGTAGGATTTGTTAGGTCTCTCTCTGATTAGATTTTTTTTTTCTCCGGGTTCTCCGGTTTCCCTGACAAGATCAGCCCAGAGGTYGTTTTAGGGTTCAATCTGTGAGTTAGACGTGCCCTGACTTAGATCAGCCCAGAGGTTGTTTCAGGGTACAATCTGTGAGTTATCCATACCTTGACTTAGATCAGCCCAGAGTTTGTTTCAGGGTTTGATATGCGAGTTAGCCGTGCCCTGACTTTGAT